ACTCGTGGTGGTTAAACGTGGGAAGTAGACACGAAGAGCAAGCCGTAAGATAGTGTGCGTGTGCCTCCTCTCGTTCAGTCCTTGGAATGTCCGCTCGATGGCGGTGCTTCTATATGAGGAATATATGATGAAAAGATGCGAGATAGTGGTACTTAAAGTGTTGAATAGGTGGACGAACGGACGCACAGACAGATGCATGGACGGATGCATGGATGGCTGCGCGGACGAATGGACGCATGGACGGACGCAGGAGCGGATGCATGGACGAAAGCAGAGACGGAGGCACAGATGGACGTGCGGACGCACGAACAGACACACGCACGGAAGGGCGGATGGATGCACGAGCGGCCACACAGACGCACGCATGGATGGACGGAAGCATGAACGAATGGACGGACGGATGCTTCGCCCCACCTTCCACCATTCACCCCGTGGATATGCTGCCATTTTTTTTATTCAGCGTGAAAAGCTTTCCGCTAAAGTTATCCCCTTTATCCCTTTGTGTGCAGCGTGGCCGCACGTAGTCAACGCGCCGCCACGCTGCAGACACGTCGGCGCGAGTTCATCCAGGAGAACTGCCTTGGAAATTATCTGGAGTGCTGAATTCAAGCGATTGTTTTTGCGTTGAGCGGCTTCAGCGTCATCGTAACCGGCAGAAAGATCGCGGATCACAGAGGATGTCGAAAGACGGCGATAGTTGGGAGGGCGCAAGAAGGATGGAACCAGTTGGTCATATGACGTGTTGAGACTGGATAAAGCACGCAGAGAAACACGAACACAAGAAGGAGAAAAAAACCGCTAAAATCGCGGGCGCCTACTCTGAGCAACGGTTTATTCAGTCTAGACGTGACTCAATACCTACAAGCCTAATTACACATGCTGTTGCGAGATGACACAGTCTGTTGTTGCCCGCTGCAGCGCAACAGTAGTGGGCACCATCATGCGGCTGCCGATGACATAGTCACTAAGGTATACGGTGAGGGCATCCACCAATACTCGTATAGGTGGAAATGAAGCGTTATGTAAAGGGACGTTTATCCGCATTGGTGGTTGCGGAGTGCACCTACGCATTGCCTTCTGTGGTCTCCCAGTTAGCTACGCATACGCGGCTTAATTTATCAGACAATAAAAAACAATAAAAGGCTGCGTTCACAATTTCCATTAGGTAGCATCGTGATTATTGTATTAGAAAACGGAAGAAAAAGAAGGGAGACGAAGAAGAAGTGTCTTTTTAGAAGAGCGCTTGTTTTTTGCGCTCTGTTTGATTTTAAGGAAATCATCGGTCTTTTGAGATGCCTCGCCTCCCCGTCTTGCGGTGATGGCCGTGGAGTATGCCAGAGGCCCACCTGGTCACAGGTCCTCACACCCGTCAACCACAAGGAAGCGAGCTGGCTCTCCCAGTGACACTGAGGACACCAATCTCTATTCTATGTAGGAAGACGACACATCCGATGGCAGCTTTATACCTGTCCAGGGTAAGAGGGCGAAGAGAAGGACGGCGAATACAGCAGCATCAGCTCCTGCAAGCACAGCGACTGTGCAGTCAAGGCCTGCGCGCTGGCCACACGTCATCATCTTCATGCCCGAAGATCCATCAAGCAACCTACGGCTTCTGAACAGGCAAGCCCTTTCCGTTGCTCTCGAGTGTGCGGTGCCACATCAAAATAAGGACGTACGAGTAAACCCAAGAAAGAACATTCTCGCTATAGACGTGCACGATGTGAGCGCGCTTGGACAGCTGCAGCAAATGACTGAGCTAGGTAGCATTAAAATGCGCCCCTTTATCCCGTTGTATGATAAATCCATTGCCGTTGCAATTTATGACATCGGCATTGCCATTCCTAATGCTGACTTGTCTACCCTCATCAAGCCTGCAAACGAGAGAACTGTCATTAGGCAAGTGCGGCGCCTCGGAAATACGCGCTGCGTAAAAGTGTTTTTCAAGGGAGATTGCATACCGTCCCACGTTAAAGTTGGACATTTTCGACATCTGGTTCGACCATTCATCCAAAAGCCACTTCAATGTCATCAGTGCTTCAGGCTAGGACACGTCAAGGGCGTATGCCCCAATTTACGACTGTGTCCCCGCTGCGCTGAACCTCATGCTGAAGACGCCTGTCCGGCGACTACTCTGAAGTGCGCCAACTGCAGCGGTCCTCATGCTGCCTCGTCGAAAGACTGTCCTCGAATCCAAAAGGAGCGCGCGGTTCTCAGACAAACGGCCAGAGACAACTCGACACACAGGGAGGCAGCTGAAGTAGTCCGGCATCGACGTCGGCATCATCGAAAGTCTTCAAAGAAGCAACATTCCTTAGACGCTCATTCCCACTCTTTAGCGGTTCCATCCAGTAGCGCCGCGAAAGGGCCCACCACTTCTACGAAAGAAACAGAGAAGCCTCCTTCTCTGGAGGAATGACCCACGCTCGCGATGCGCTCTTCTGCCAAGGAACCTCTGCAGGTTGTGGCCACACAAGAGCCGTCTCCAACCGGGGAAGATTTTTCTAAAACTGATCGTCAAGTGATCTCGGTACTGCGTTCCCTCATAGATGCCATCCGAGCGATATTAATCGACATGAAGACACCATCTGCTCGAAGCGCACTTGGACTATTGGACGCCCTAAGCCCAGTGCTTGAATCTCTCAACTAGGAAGATGGCTACTCACACCTCAACATTTCCTAAAGAAGTCAAGGCTGCATCTGTCGTCCAATGGAACGCAAGAGGACTAAAATCACGCCTTTCAGATTTTCGTCAGGTTGTGTTTACCAACGTGTTTCCAATCATCGTCATTTGTGAACCCAATTTATCGAAACCAATAAGACTATCGTGGTACGAAGCTGTCATGTCTTCAACGAACGGTGCGTGCAGCAAAATCATCGTCTTTGTTCGTCGTGAACTGACGTATGTTGTTTAACCAGTTGCACCTCACGATGACAATCGGTATGTCTGCATCACTGTGAAAAACAACAAACTCATGTTTACTCTCATAGGCGTTTATATATCGCCGTCGAATAATCTCGATTCCTGGAGATTAGCGGATATATTGAGAGTGTGTCCTGCACCATGCGTCCTCATAGGTGATATCAACGCGCACAATCACGCATAGGGAAGAATGCGGACAAATGCAAGAGGACGCAGGTTAGCGAACATCGCCTACAACTATGGCCTTACTCTCCTGAACGACGGCAGCCCCACTTTTCTTCGAGAGGTGACATACGGCAGCTGTCTCGACCTTGCCTTTGTCTCCAACTCCCTCGCGAGATACGTCAAGTGGTTTCCAGATGTTGAGACACGAGGAAGTGATCACATTCCAATCTACCTTAACTTCAAAGGCTTGTCTAGTTATGGTCCACGGACGACCATTCGAGCAGTCCAATGTACCAACTTCAAATCTGACATGGAGGATGCTTGCAGCGATGGCCTACGATCTGGGTCAGAGGAAACAAATAGGAGCACAATGCAAAACGCCACTCGCATGGTGACGATATCTTCCACGCGAAACGACTTTGATATAGAGTTGGAGCGCCTCCGAGCATTGCGACGCCGGGCGGAGCGTCGGTATCGGCGTACAAAATCAATTCACGGTCTTAGGACAGCCAGGAGGATGCAAAAGAAGATTCGGCGTCGCATGGATGGATTAGTGTCGGAACAATGGACAACGTTTTGCCAGTCACTAGACCCTCGGAAGCCACTCTCACATATTCGGAAAACGGTGCAAGGTCTGCGTCACCCTACGGAACAGCGCTTTCCATTCAAAGCGCTCGCGCTATTTCAAAGGAGGCAAGGCATTGATGTCACAGAAGATTTCTGTGCGCAGATCGCCAACCAAGCCACTCATACAGATTCTCTAGTGAGAGGTGACGTCCCCCGTTCCCGTGACTACCACATGGACCTCTCTTTTACAATGGAGGAGCTCGAGGCGGCACTAGCTCTCTGCAGGCGTTCAACTTCTCCGGGCCCAGATGGTATTCCGTACGAAGCCTTGTGCAACCTTGGGGTAGGTGCAAGGAGAGAACTGTTGAGCCTTTACAACATCTCGTGGCAGGATGGCAATGTTCCTGATGACTGGAAAGTAAGCCGCTTGTTACCCATCTTGAAACAGTGCAAATCATCACTCGAACTCACCTCATACCGCCCAATAGCACTGACCAGCTGCGTAGGGAAGATAATGGAACGAATGATACTAGGCCGTCTGGAGTGGTATCTTGAATACAACAAGACTTATCCGAATTCAATGGCTGGTTTCCGACGCGACCGCTCTTCTATTGACAATGTCGTTGATCTAGTTTCGTACGTTCAGCACGAAAGATCCCGTAAGCGACTATCTGCAGCTTTGTTTCTAGATGTGAAAGGTGCTTATGATAATGTACTACATGAAGCCATTTTGGGTGCTCTTGCGGTGGTTGGCCTTGGTGGTCGAGTTTTTCGGCGGATTTCGAGTTACCTGGCTTGAAGATCATTCTATGCGTTAACAGAAGATGGCCCAAGTACGCGACGCTATACTTCCAGGAGTGTTCCTCAAGGCGGAGTTCTTAGCCCGACGCTATTTATTCTTGCACTAATTGGCCTTGCTGAATATATGCCAAGCACCATTAAAATCTCAATATACGCAGACGACATCTGTGTCTGGACATCGGCAGTCACACGTCCTCAGATACGTTCCCAGCTTCAAAAAGAAGCAACTATGATTGCAAACTACTTGTTCAAACAAGGTCTCAGCATATCACCATGCGCGCTGGTGGCCTTCACTCGCAAAGCAATGACCCCTTATGTCATCTCAATCTGCGGGCGACCGATTGCTTACGCCAAAAACCATCGGTTTCTGGGCATCATTTTTGATAGGGACCTCTGTTGGAGTCCGCATGTGACCTATATGAAGAAGCGCCTGACCGCTATTTCCCAACTGTTCAAGTTCCTGGCAGAAAAGACGTGGGGGATGTCCGTAGACGCAATGATGAAGCGCTACAGGGCCCTGTTTCTCGGTTTCCTCAGAATTGCTTACCCGTGCTTAGCAATACCTGCAAGACCAATGTTCGTGTTTTACAGGCAGTACAAGCACAAGCGCTGAGAGTGTGCCTCGGTCTGCCCAGATGTGCGTCAACGGAAGCAACAATTGCAATTGCTGGTGACTATCCGATACAAACTCACATTGTTGTAGAAATCCTGAGAACGCACATCAGACATTTCGCACGTGCTCCCTACCATCACGTTGCACTGTTGCCTTCAGAGAGGCGCCAAGCATCGTTCGCCAAAATGATCGTGAAATACAACGATAAACTTCCCTCGGGCTTCACCCCTGCATTTAAACCATCCATATCACCTTGGTGTCTTATTCGACGCACAGTGCACCTTAGTGTACCAGGGATCCGGAGGAAATCTGAGCTTTCGTCGCCCGTGCTGAAACAACTGTCTCTTCTTCTTTTGCATGAGAAATATTCAGACAGCATACATGTATACACTGATGGTTCCACGAACCACCAGTGTTCGTCAGGGGCAGTAGTTATCCCAGCAAGAGGTGTTACCATCAACTTTAGGACTGACCACTCCACGGCATCTACAGCAGCGGAACTAGCAGCTTTGCGCGCTGCACTTTGTGTGGTCAATCGGGAACCACCGCAACAATGGTCGATTTTCAGCGACTCAAGGGCTGCCCTACAATCTGTGCTCTCAGCACTGCGTCGCGGGCCATACGAACAGCTTGTTTTCGAAATTCGATGCCTTCTCCACACTTCACACGAGAAAGGGCATCATGTGACGCTTCAATGGCTGCCAAGTCACTGCGGCATCATAGGGAACGAACATGCCGATACTGCCGCGTGGGCAGCCCTTGTAGAAACACGAGAAGAAGCCATACCACTTTCGAGGACCGATGCTGCCAGTAATCTTCGACGACTTGCGCGTGAAATCACGTTTTCACTATGGTGCCCACCAAGCATCGATACGAATCGTCAACACCACCTGTCCTCTTTGATGGCTCTCTGCATGCCCACTGGACTCGACCGAAGAGAAGCCACCCTTCTTCATCGCCTATGGCTAGGAGTGGCATTTACAAAATCTTATTTCTTTGTCATAGGAATGGCCGACAACGCTCTCTGCGATGCCTGTCATTGCGAAGAGACGTTACACCACATCCTGTGTGACTGTCCGTTGTATGAAATCCAGAGACAGTCACTGGCGTCCGCTTTTGCGCGCATCGACAACAGCAAAATGTCTGTGGACACTATTCTGTCAAGTGCCCGAGAGAAGACATTGCAACAGAACGCGACGAAAGCTCTGATGAAATTCCTACGCGACACAGACTTGAACAAGCGACTGTAACAGCAATGTCACACACCGCGAAAGACAAGACTGGACTATGACTGAGTGTGCGCGCGTGTGCTGCCGAATGAGCTGTTTCTCTTTTCCCTCTCTGCTCTCTTTCATCTCCCCCATCCCTCTCCCATGCGCAGGGTAGCAAACCGGCTGCCTATAGGCTGGTTAACCTGCCTTTCTTTTCTCTCTATTTTTCTTCCTTCCCTCCTTGTATTAGAAAACAATTGAAGAGTTCAAATTCGTACATATCAACATTGAAAGAGCCTAACATTGTAAATAAGTATATAGTTAGCAATTTTCTCATATGCTACATGATGACTACAGGGTTAAAATGTATAAGAACGGTAAAAATAATGATAATAGTGACTTAGTTGCTATGTTCCGAACGTGTAACAAGATTGACAAGTACGCCATAGTGGGAATACTGAGAACTGTTGACCATGTGACATTTTTTAGCGGGCACTGACATCATACAGTACGGAGACCTCCAGCACCGTATAATCACAGTACAGGCGGAGTGAAGGAAAATTGATGAATGTGGGGTATATTTTCTGATATCATTTTTCATAATGTGAAAATTCCATCTATTTTACTTAACTATTCAATGTCGCAACATATACACGCTATTGCGCTAGCATTCTCGAAGTGCCCCCGTCATGCTGGTCAAAATAAATTGCATGCCCAATTCCTATCTAATCATAATTCTTGTTTTCATGAAACCAACTACTTCTCTCCCTGGCATGCAAGGTGGACTTACTTAAATAGCAGTGAATAACTTGCCGTGGTCTATTACGAACACACATACATGGTAGTAACATGCAGATAAAAAGAGCCCTGGCGGCCGCTTACGCACAAACACATTCTTGCCTGACACAAAACTGCGCCAAAATTTCTAGATTTACGCCAATTTAAAAAAAAAAATTTAAATGTAAACATCCGCTCACAACAAAATAAGAAACAAGAAGTAAAAAAAAAACACGTCCACGTTTGTGGGCATCAGCGGCAAAGGCACGGTTATATTTCTTTGCCCGAGCGTATTTCCAGCGTAGCGCGAGGCCACGTTGTTACACGCTTGACACTCATACGTGTTACAAAACAAATAAATGAAGCTGCAAACAAAACGATAATAGGCTGAAGTGGCAACAAATAAATAGATATCACGTTGCTTTCATAAGCGCACACTTTCCATTAGCCTACTCATTTTCTTTACCTCGAAGAAACAGGGTGAGGGGGGGGGGAGATTGGTGAGCGCTATGCTTTTAGTCGGCGGTACTACAACTAAAAGCCATCTTAAGTAAAAATTATGGCAAAGCCAAACCACAACAGCACCTAAGGCTAAGCCTTTTTCGTACCTTTCTCAACCATGTGATGTGCTCTAGCTTGAGCTGGTGACGGCAAAATATGCTGGGCAAACAATGGCCCCAGCCCTTTTGAGTCACGATAGTGTTAGAATTAAAATAAAAAGAATATAGTAGTTTTATTCGTCTACCTTAAAGCACACCGTTCCCCCAGCTGAAAGGTAGAGGTGCGCTACAAAGGCTGATTGCAAGCAGCAAAAGAAATAAGAAATTTAAAGAAGGAAGACGAAATAAATGCCTCCCAGCGCAAAAACTTTTGAAACACCGGGAACGTTTTTATCTCACGTTGCTTTTTGGCAAATACCTTTTTTTTTTCGGCTTTCACTAGACGCTCTTTGCAGAACACAGCACGAAAAAAAAGAAGCATGGGTCGGGAATGGCGTGTGACCTTTCGTTGTTGCATTTGCCTTTTTTTTTTTTGAGAACTATCTGTTGTCTCTTTTTTTTCCTTCAGCGTAACGTGGTTGTAGAAAAGAGGCGTTGCGATGATCTGCGCTTGGCCAGGCAGTTTCAACTGCCGCCGAGCGCCGAATACTCTCCTGATGCCCCATTCCTCTACATTTTTGGAGGTGCGTGCAAACACCGCCCCTTCACCGCGTTTTACTGGAGTTCAACAATTTAGGTCACACTATTTCTTCACCTCTATTGGTGCATGGCTCTTTTAGCTTCAAAAAAGGGAATGTCTTGTTGGCTGTTTTCGTTTTTCTAAACACGCATTCACGCTTTTTTGCATTATTTCAAGATTTTCTAACAGTGAGCTGCATACGCAGATAACGTTCACACGTTGAGAATAGTGTGCGATCGCAGAATCTTGATTGATTAATTGATTGATTGTTTGATTTATTGATTCATTGATTGATTGATTGATTGATTGATTGATTGATGTGTGGGGTTTAATGTCCGAAAACCACCATATGATTATGAGAGACGCCGCAGTGAAGGGCTCCGGAAATTTCGATCATTTGGGGTTCTTTAACGAGCACCCAAATCTGAATCGCAGAATCTTAAGATGGCATTCTTTTTCGCACTTCAGCGTATCTTTATAAGTCTTTCTTCCCAACGTTATGCCTGCTCGTTCATTGCAAAGATGATTAAGAAAGTAACAGTAAAAGCGCGCAGCACGCGAGCGGAAATTCGGGGTCATTGTGGCGTCTATCTTCATGAAAGGGCGTATTTGACACATCGTGAAAACGTTGACATTTAACTGTATTTCTTGTAATAGAATGGTAATCTCAAACACATCACATCACGCTTGCTCGGGTAGCCTCAGTCACGCTTTATACAATGCCAATTGACATTTATTGACAGCTCTTTTTTTTTCAATAGCACTATGTACCCTGCTTTCCTTATTCCTTTATTTCACTGAAGATCAAAGTCTAGAAGTGAGGCCTTCGGTCGCTGTCTCGACGCCTCCGTAATTAAATTCCTTCCGACAGTTTGGTATGGCGAGAGCTGCTTTCTCTCTCGGTGCAGGTTGAAATGCGCCAAACAGCAGTAACTGAAATGCTTTGCCTGTAACTTCGTGCATACGTTCTCGATTTGCACCACCCGCAAATGTAAATCACAACGTATTTTGGAGGCTTTAGAGAGATGTAGACTTTATTAATTTCCAGCAGATTGATGAAATGGCCTCCCCCTAGGGGCCAAAGGAGAGACCGTGTCTCCCGGCAACTTCCTTGGCCTGCTGGATCGCCCAAAGTTGCTTGTCCAAGCCCGAACTGAGCAGCGCAGTCCGCCAACGCACTCGAAAGTCTTCATTGGTGGCCGCGACCACAGAATTTCTGACTAATGCTGGACATTCCCTTAGTATATGGTCAAGATTGGCTCTGGTGGTACAGTACTGGCATAGATTGAACTGTAGACGTCGGGATATATGTGGTGCATGATGACAGGGTTCGAGTATGTGCGTGTTTGTAGCTGCCGCCACTGAACGGACTCGGCCCGATTTAGCTTGGGGTGAGGCGGAGCGTACTCCCGCCTTTGCAGTCGATAGTGTTGAGTTATGTCGATAAATTTAGTGAGCCGATCGTCCCTTACCGACACCGGCGCAGAAAAGTCCGTTTGGATGGCCCCTTCATCTGACGCAACTAGGAACGTAAGACCTCGAGCCACGTTGTGGGCCACTTCATTCGGACTGTCCTCCGGGTTACCTAGTGGTGTGTGGACAGGGAACCACAGAATGTGCACATATTCGTCCGCCTCGTGAATTTTGCCTGTACTAAGAATCCGCAATGCCTCGGGGGAGATTCTGCCACTGGCGTAGTTACGAACGAATGTTGATTGATTGATATGTGGGGTTTAACGTCACAAAACCACCATATGATTATGAGAGACGCCGTAGTGGAGGGCTCCAGAAATTTCGACCACCTGGGGTTCTTTAACGTGCACCCAAATCTGAGCACACGGGCCTACAACATTTCCGCCTCCATCGGATATGCAGCCGCCACAGCCGGGATTTGATCCCGCGACCTGCGGGTCAGCAGCCGAGTACCTTAGCCACTAGACCACCACTGCGGGGCTTTCAAACGACTGTCTGCGAGTCGCTGATTACACATGAGGCGTTAGTGTGAGCTATGGCCATTGCAATAGGCACTTCCTCTGCCGTTTCTACGTTTCGTGTGATGATTGACGCGCTGCTATTGCAATATTGTGTGTGGTCAACGACAGCAGCCACGAAGTGGTGACGTTCCTGGTAGCGTGCTACGTCGACAAAGACTGCCTCATGGTTCCGCCCAAACATCTTTGACATTTCTGCGGCATTTTCTTGTCTCTGGCATCTCATCTCTACTCGTTTTAAAAGTAACGAATTCTGGTTTTTTGTTTTGTCAAAAATGTGTTGAGCATGTACGTTAAAATGTATACAACTGTCCCTCAATAGAAGCCTTTTACAAGAACCACGGTTCAAGTGTACTTGGCCGATTAATAAATGGTTGTAACTTTAGGAACCTCATTAGATAAACATATGTAATTTGCGGACACAAGACAGCATATGTCACGTGGAAGGAAGCGAGGCAAATGAAGGCACGAGAATTTGTCCAATCTTGCTTCTTCAGCTGCCAAGCAGTGTCGTCAAATGCATGCAACCTGCTTGGGTCGAAATCGACAAACGCATGTCGCAATTAGGTATTATATTTATCTGTTGCGATTGAAAACACTCGGAAGCCTATCACGCTCACCTGTACTCTCAGGCATCTTCTTATTCTTTAGTTGAAAAAAGTTGAATCTTTTAGAACTCATCCCGCTTGTAACACTACTGCTTTACAATAATCTAAGGCAATGAACTGCGACAAAAATTACGCACAACAAATAAAACAATACAACCAATAAACATAAAGAAACGGGAAACTTGTGGCTCTTTCATCTGGAAAGCAAATCTCGTGCCATGCTGCCGTATGATTTTTTAGTGATAAAGAAACAGGGCCGGAGGTCCACAGGAAGGGGTATGATACTCTATTGAGACTTATGTGCCACAAGTCATATATTCTGCTTCACATCGTGACCCAAACAGAGGTCAGGCCACCACATGTCTTCTACTTTCAACGCACATTCATAGCTCGTGGTAATCCACGTATTATACCACATGGTCAGAAACCTTGTAATTATTTCTGGGTTATGGCACTGGAGGGAACACTGCAGTGCAAGGAACACGGTGCAAAAGAAGACAGGCGCAATTAAAAGCGAGGCAGACACAAAGCGTCGCCCTTTCTTGTTCTTGTCTTCTTTTGCACTGTGTTCCCTCCAGAAGAAGTTACAGCTGGCCGAGTTGGTTCATGATGAAAGGTAAGCTGGTGTGCAGCAAACTCGTGTGATCACGTGACTAAGTCTCTTTCGTGGCTATATATCTCTGGGGTTCACGAAATAATGAAGTCACTTGAAAGTTTGCACCTGTCTCTGTCCGGTCTTTCTGTATCATCGCCTTCATTTGCGCACATCGGTTTACCACGAAGTTTCCTCCAGTGTTTACCTGCAAAAATTCAATTTCTCCTATTGCGTTGCCGTGACAGACCAATTAGGATGGTAATCAACTCTGGTATTGTGCTCTAAAAATCTGTCATTTCTCACGCATTGGGAGGAGCAATTTTATAGGAAAAAATTTTGCGACTACTAGCCTGATTTAGATTTGTGTAACGTAGGTGCTCACGCTACAACGGAGACGGAGACGTTGATCGCTTTTATTCAAACGCTCTTATGTGCGTACCATGAAAGGTTGTCGTTGGCGTATTGCACCATGGGTGGGCTATAGCAACAGCTGACTCTAGCTTGCTGAGTCATTATTGTACGCATGTAATGCTTGTTAAATTGTTATCAACTGGGATAGCCTACAATGCAACCACAATTCCAGCTGCCCCTGCATTTATGCAATGGAGTGCACTTTTAAAACCACCTCGAACTGCTATTTCATTCATTGCATTCATCGGGGTTTGTCGGTAACATAAACGCCACCAATTCAGCCATCGAGTTACTACGACAAGAGCTCCTGAAAACTGTCATCTTAACATTAATTCATTATTGCTGTTATTGAGTTGATATGAAGAGAAATCACCTATGGCACGTATTTTCACTTTAGGGGCTGTTTTTTATGGGTATGTGACACACCTAACTGTTAGAAAAGGTTACGTGACGTATACGACAGCCTCGTCATGTTATTCGTGCTAGTTATGGCAGGTACATATATATTGTGACCTATCATTTGTATGTGTCATACAATGATACTCCAATGTCGCCGACTGTCCCTAAAATTTTTCACGTTTAGGACTAGGGACTGAAAATACAGAAAACCTGCTTCATCGCAAGGCACAGAGAGATTAGTCACGTTTGAGTGATTGGACATCTGCATAACTCGAGACGCATTGTGCTCATTGTGTCCGGTGGCGCAGCTGGGCTCCATTACAATATTATGGTAATATTCAAAGATGCGTACTCGTTCCTTCCCATGTTTGAACTAATACATTCCCCTAGATCGAATGAGAGAGAAGTAATAGGAAGAAGCGGTCTTCTGTGAAAAAAAATAGAAGGGCACGCTCAAGCTGCATAAATCTCGTGTAATAGCCGCAACGGTGCAAGGAAGGAACGAGGGAAGAGTGACGAGACAATAGCGTTCCTGCGAGGCTTTTCTTCTCCCACGGTGGCAAGTTACTCTCGGCCATTCGCCATGTAGAAGCCGTGTCGTTCGTGTTTATCTTGCTGTCGCATTAAATGTGCCGTTTGTTCTCGGCAGCGACCGCACATTGTGGCAGCAGCGGCCTTTCCAGCCCCGCACGCTTGCGATGCACCCGATTGAGTTATTGTCCACGCTCCAGCGATCGCAATCTCCCTTTCCGGAAATGGCTCTATTGCCGTTTATTTTGGTGCCTTCGCGTCTGCCGAGCGCTTTCGTAAGCACGCGAGACTTGCCTGTGTTTTTTTTGTGTGTATTTTTGTTCTTCACTTAACTCCATCCATAATTTGCTGCCTGTTGATGTGAGCCGTTTTTCTCTGGTAAATTTCGGGTTCGCATCAACTATATTTTAAAATATTTTTTATAGAACCTCATCTTTGTGTAATAATAAACAACGGCCAAAGCAAAAAAGTGAAGGGGTAGGCTGACAACTGTTCTCTAGAATGGCACAACGCCTGCCTACTATTTTGAGAGGAGGTAATATGTTAATCACTGTAGCGAGTTAAAATTCATTGTTTTCGTCACAAGCGCGAAGCAATGATTGCGGTAGCAGCAAGTTCGACTTTTATACGAAAAATCATTAGCCGCTAACTCTTTTGGATCAGACCTGACATAACTCTACAAAAAAGCTACATTTAGTTATTATGGGCGCTTCAGCGAGAAACGTGGTTTTTTTCCTACCATCTGTTGCCTCAAATGTAAAGTAATCATCTATCAATGTAGGTTGGTCACGTCAGTTGGGACAGCGCGTGCTCAGCGGTCACTATCACTTCTTTATAATTAAAGTTAGCAGTCTGCACGAAGAACTCTTTTATACCAACTGTATGACATAAATACTCAATGCATGGTGCATATGCACGCCATTCCTTGTTTGCCTTGTTTTCCGGCATCTTTTTGGCATTTATGTGTTGTTTTATCCGGGATCGGCATACTAGCTGATACCAAGCCACGAAAAGAGGACGCATAGCCTTCCACAAGATGCAGTTCTTGAATGTTTAATGCCTTACAATATATGTCGGCATCTCAAACTAAATCAGCAAGAATGTGAAATTTTTGCTCACATACAGGTGAAAATTTCGGCACGTCTTGCGTACCATGAGAATCAACATTATGCGAAGCATGCAGAGGGAAGGTGACCGTGTTGTAATTTTCTTAAGGACTAACACGTCGTAAAATGAAGCAAAGCATAATGTACAAATGTTGCACGCATAGACATATGTGAAGCACTTTAAGATGCTTGCGTAAGCTGTTGTTTGCACTCACGAAGTGCAAACAGCTGCTTACGTAAGCATCTACGAAGCGCCTGTGCTCGCGAAGATGGTAGCCCTGGACACTGCTACATAAATGAACTTCAGGGAATGTCCATAACTTCCATTGACTTTAGCCCGACGTGACGGCTACATACGTATTGTTTATAAAACTGGATAGACCCCATCCCCCAGCACTTCAACTACAATTGACGTTTCACTAACATTACAATCTATTCGAAAAGTAGTTCTGAGACTGCACTTGACACGAAGGTCTTTCTTCTTTCCTTCAGTCCGTGTTACATATTGCGCGTCACTTCCATCTTCCAATTTGACAGTCGTGTCATGCAATTCAAATCTTGATATATAGCAAGCTTCCAAACTGATATTGTGCATTATGCATCATGACCGTGGTTGTGCATTATTATTATGGCAGGTATGTCATGACGTTCTTGTTACCACCTGTGAGTTATGACCCCTACAGGAGCGTCAAGCATTAGTACTTTCATTGCTTGTGAAGGAAGCGATACGACGCCTAAATAAAAAAAAACAGCATGCATGTAAAACAACACCGAAAATCAAAAGCGAACCAATGAAAAGCTATGGCTGTAGCAGTCAACTTTCATGACGTGCCCAACGCTACATGTCAGGCCTAAGGCGTCGATTTTACGACCAACTTAATTACAGGCGGCAATGTTATAGCGAATGAACCTCCACGGCAATAGAAACACGTTGGTCTACCACGGGGCAAACGCAACCATTTTCTGAGAATACATTCGCGAATTCTCAAAGAGGTACCTTACACGAAGGCGGGTATAAGCGGTGGGATTGAACTTTTTTTGCCGTATTCTGTGCAGCAACACATCTCGCCACTTGGCGTAATTTTTCCCTCAGGGAATAGTAAAAAGGGCTTTGCCCGTTTCCTACCAGTTACGGCAGCCAAAAGAGCAGCACCCGGACATTTTTTGATGCCTCTACAAGCGCGAGAATAAGTGCGTAATCAACACTTAATCAAGTGTGTAATCAATGTGCTTTTTCGAGGCCCTAAAAAGCATCACATGCCAGTGAGCCGAACTCCGTTGGTCGGAAGGGACTGGCAAGTCTATGGCAAAGCCCACCGACTGCATGCGGTGGCGAAAAAAAAAAAAAGGATTGCAGTACTTTCCACGTTTCAGTGATTTTAAAATGCTCTAGTGTCCC